TTTTTGCCAGAAGAAGCATCATCTGTGAGGCTGGAGACCATGAAACAGACTCAGGGCCATACATTTCCTATTCTAGTATTGAAAAGGATTCTAGTTATCTCCTATTCCTTGTTATCCATCTGGAATGTGCTTTACATGAAAAGTTGTAGTTCTGAGCATTGTAAGATGCCATTTATTTCAACCACAGTTATTAAATAGTTTGGCTGCTGTTGCTTAATAATGTTTATTGTTTAACTCTTCTCTCTCAAAAAAGACCCATGGTGTTTATAGCAATAAAAATAGATTAAAATGTGGTATACAAATCTGAAAAGAAGAACAAAATTATTTTCTTTTGCCGTAATGTAACAACTGGGTGTTTTGAGTTTCTGGGAACTGTTTTGTCAAAATAAGGGAGAGATCGTCTATTGGTGTTCTTTTGGAGCTCTTATGCCTGCTATCTTCCCTCCATCAATACCCCATTGCAATGGTTAGTTTTGAAAAGTGCTTTGTCACAGCATTGGCAGAGGTTCAAGCTTGATCTGGACAGTACAGAATGTGACTGCCTTGTTTATTGTCCAGAGACTCTTCTTTCTGGATCATTTTTAAGAGTCAGAGGGAACTCAGTAGCAACTGGCATTTCATGAGCCACAGACAGGCTAGAGATATACTTCAGTCTTAATAGGAATGTTAGCAGCAGTCATACTTCAGCAGTTGTTTGACAACCTTCCCAGTGGGCTTCCTAGATGTCTAGAAAATTTCCCAGTAGCTGAAAAATTAATCTTCAATATGTTTTTGCCAGATTGTTTATCCTATTTGAAAAACAATATGATATATGGAGAAAAGGTGATTTCAGTACATGTTGATGAAGCCCATGTGGTTTCTTTGAGCTTGTTATGGATGAAATGGAGAAGTTTCTCTTCTTTAGTATAAGAAGATGCAAGAGGTGTTTCCTCTTTTAGTAACCCATCTTTGCACTTTGATGTGAACGTTTTGAAAAGGAAACCAGATGTCTCCCTTTTTTGCTGGGTGCTAACTCCTATTGGGGTAGTGGGTGTTGGTGGGAATGTTAATACTGATATCCATGTCTCTCGATCCAAAAATAGACGGCATCTCCTTTAGGAATAACAGACTATGTGGCCTTATTTACATGAGACAAAATTGTGATGGAAATTTCAGAGGAAAGTGTGAAAAAAAGCCCTTGCAGGTATAGGTGTATACATGTTTAAACCTCATAGATGAAATAATTTAAAAGCAAATATTTTTTCAAGAAGAAAAATAGAGCAGTCTTGTGTATTAATATTATTTTGGGTCCAAAATTGGTATTGTCTTACTTAAAAGGTAGATAAGTAGATGTCCACATTAATTTACTACTTTGGTGGTGTACGTATATGCTCTGAATGAATTAAGGTGGCCTTTTCCACAAAAATTAGAGATTAATGATCAGAAACTACATTTGGTAGTTATTGTTTATTAGTGGAATGGAATGGAGTTTTATCTCCTGAAAAAGATAGGACTTTTGTTGAAGCAGTCAACATACCACGAGGTAAATTACCAAAGGTGTGTTTAAAAATGTGAAGACTAATATTCAGTTAATATTTAGACTTTTTCTTTTGGGTTTGATGGACAAACTGTTAGAAAGGAACAATGGAAGAAAATGTCATTTTATGATAATAGTTGCAAGAATATTATACAACCAGAAATGGAAGACTAGGGGTTTTTTTAGAATCCGAAGAAGACTAATTAAAAGTGATTGATTTTGCGGAAATGGACAAACTATTTATTTTGATTAACGAAAAACCATTAACAATGTTTTTGAAAAACTGGAGCCTCCTGATTGACTTTTTTAATCAGGAAGAGGGCAATTTGATAGGTGTTGGTTTTGTTAATTAGCATGACTAAATGTATAGATGAAATATGACTTACAGTGAAAGTAGAGAATTCTGAGGAAGAAATATGCCTAGAGAAAGAAGGATGGAAGTAATCATTTTCCCCCTATTTCGTTAGTTGTGTTTTTTATCTAGTCAAGTTGTGTGTTTTGTTCTTTTTTTCGTTTATAGCATTTCTGCTAAATTTTATTAATTTTTAATTGTATGTAGAATTATATTAAATAGACATGATATGTTGCATGATTTTAAATAATGGGTTTTAGGGTTTTATTGTGTTTTAATGATTGTTTTAATGCTTATGTTTTATTGTGTGTGGGGGGTGGATTTGACATCAAATTGTTGCCTATATATGTAAGCCGCCTTGAGTCCCCTACAAGGTTGAGAAGGGCAGGATATAAATGCAGCAAATAAATAAATAATATGTAGGAGAAAATAGTGGACACAATGCAGCAGGAAATGTAGAAGAAAGAGTTAAAAAGAGCAGGATCTTCTGTCTGTTATCTGTGGAGGGACAGAAAAGAAAAAGAGACACGGTAACCTAATAATAGGTACATTAATATTCTGTCTTAATCTGTCATCTGTAGGAAACTCTTACTTCTCCAGGAATTAGCTTCCTTAGATGCTAGAAACATCCATCTAGACCAGGGGTGGCCACTGCATAGGAGGCGGAGTGTATTTTTTAGCCCAATGGTTCTCAACCTGTGGGTCCCAGGTGCTTTGGCCTACAACTCCCAGAAATCCCAGTCAGTTTACCAGCTGTTAGGATTTCTTGGAGTTGAAGGCCAAAATATCTGACTTCCCACAGGTTGGGAACCACTGCTCAAGGCACTGCTCAATATAATAAAAGCAAGGTGGTAGCAATGTCACTTCTAGCTTTCCTTTTGCCTGATATTTGGGCAGTCTTTAGCTTCAGTGGCTGCATTTAGGGATCCCAAGGATCACAGGATTACCTTCAGTTACAAACAAGCTGAAAGGTAACTAAGTGACCAGTTCTGTGGTTTCTAGCTTTGAATATGTGTTAGTGGATTTTAAATGTGATTTTTAAAATACTGTTTATATTTATTTCTGTTTTAATGTTTGCATATTTGTATATTTTAAATTGTATGTTTTATGTGAAGCTGCTTTGAGTCTCCTCCAGGAGAGATAAAGTGGGGAATAATAATAATAATAATAATAATAATAATAATAATAATAATAATACTAGTCCTAGACACTTGGGAAGTGTCTGACGTGTGATCCACTACAACAACCAGCAGAGTGATCTTGTTTGCTGTGTACTAATCTTATTGTGTTTCAAATAATAATAATAACAATAATAATTCCCAGCTTCTGAAGTAGGTCAGAAGGTAGAATTACTGATAGGTCTCTTGAGTGATTTCCAATACATCATAGAGGGTTTTGAATGTTAAATTGTTTATCAGCAACCACAACCCCCCCCCCCCCCCCGCCCCCAACCAATCTAGGCTGTTCAGGTAGAAGAAAGCTCAGTGAGCCAGTATGAGGAGTGGGTTTCTGTGCAGCACAATTATGCATATCAGGAATATCTTTGTTCCTTCTTTCTGAAAATAGGTGCCCTCACTGTTGAGATACTGTTTGGCTTTGATCAGCTTCAGGATTCTAGTAAGAAAACAAAGTCTTTCACCCAAACATTATTTCTGCTATTAAGTCTCATGTTGATATAAAAATAATACCACTGCTTCCACCTTGCTTTTATTGTGTGTTGCATATTTAGACTAGAGCAGACATCTGTTTTGCTTTCTACAGAGTTACAATCCAACTGTGACTTCATCTTCAAAGCAATGGAACAAGACTCCAAAAATTACTAGAACTCCCATATTATTTCTGCCCCCACATTACATCCTGGATAGGAAAATTGGTCCTATTGGGTGTTAGTTGTTTTCCATCTTTTAGCTGTCCAAAAAGCTGGCCTTCATGAACTGTTATGTGATGACGATAAAATATAGCTGAATTGGCTTCCGTCCTGGACTGTAGGAGTATTCCAGGAACACATTTTATTGGAAAGCTTATTTTATTTTAAACTGAACTGTTAATTAGGCAAACATTGTTTCATAGCAGAATTAGATAGGTAGTTAATGTTACTTGGTTACAAAAAAGTTCACAACATGAAGCCTCAAAATCTCACAAACATGAAATAACAACATTGTGCTTGAAACATACACTTTAAGTACATCACAGAATTCTGTGTGTTAAAATGCCAAAGTTGAAATATTAAACACTCAATTGATCTCAGTGTACTGGGCATAAACGCAAATACCTGATTGAAGATCAGAAATACTGGTATTTTTCTAAAAACAGCTCATCTCTCCTTTTTGTTTAGAACAATTTTTGTTGGGGAATCTGAAACCCCCAAAAAACAGGATTACTAAAGTTTGGGAACTTCTGGGCTAAATGAAGCAATGACTGCATATAGTGCAAACATCCAGAGATGTTAGTGGATGCTAAAATGCTAGATTCTGTTACTAAGGCTCCTTCCTTATTTCCATATGTTCCTGTAACAGAAAATTTACCCATTAGCCTCTTGTTTACCTCTCTCTCTCTGCTTCCTTCCTTTTCCTGTTTCAAATTCTTTGCTAAAAGGAGCATAATAGAAATATTGTTGTCTTGTCCTCTATTTGCTCTCATGATTTTCTTTTTGCAGTGCAGTTTTTGTGTACTGTTTCACACAAACAAGGTTTTGTTTATGTTCATACTGCTACTATTACTTATTGTTGTTGTTTGTATGTGTGCGTGTGTGTGTGTTCTCCAGCCAGAATTGTTGTTGGTGAGATACAGTAGCTTCAGGAACTAACTAATGCTGAGAGAAATGGAAATGTGTAATTTTTATACTGTGATAAAGCTTTGGGGTCTTGTGAATCAAAAGGCTGGTCTCTCACTAAGTTATTCTGTTCCATTTAATGACATCTGGGAAATCTGGGCTTAAAGATATGGTCATTGAAGTTAGAAGCTTGGAATGTTTCTCTCAAGTGGGTCACAGGCTATCTATGACCTTGAACAGGTAACCCTGGGTTAATACATACCTCGCAGGTAACTTAAGGCTTAGTGTTTATTTAAAGTACATAGTTTTTCACATTTTAAAATGCCGTTTCATTAACGTATTTCTCTCTCACATTCTAGGACAAAGAAACTTGCCTAGGAATCAACAATCAGAGTTATATTTGTGAAACAGGCCACTGCTGTGGACAGTCTCAATGCTGCAATTACTATTATGAGCTCTGGTGTAAGTCTCTTCTCAGTTTTTCTTTTGTTTTAAATATGTCTTTCCATAATCTGAGCCATGTCTGTTCTGCTTTTTTTCTTTCTCCAACATTTGAAAATAGTTAGTGATGCTGTTCAATTCCTCGCTAAAATTTCAAAAAAAATTTAATAATTATCAGAAGTTAGTTCATCCAGGCTCCAGGCCTGCATATAGGAAAGAAATTCCTTTGATTGTACTGATGGATAACCACCTTTGCTGGAAATAAACAGTTCTTCTTACTGTTGTGGTGACTTTCAGTGTCACAAGCTCTGGTATCCTTTTCTACCTCCTGCCAGCTTTATATCTGTATAGCTCCACTTAACTGTCTTTCTACTCCCCCTTGATCAGGTAGTTTCCAAAATTTGACTGTTGGGTGCCTTGGATGTTTATTTCCTCTCCTGCGTTATTTAATATCTATGTGAAGCCATTGGAAGAGGTCATGCAAGGTTTTGTAGCTTACCAATGTCATCAGAATGCTGAACATACTCACTTCATATCTCTTCCTTCTTAGAGAGACAGCAGAGTCCTTGAACAGGTGTTGGGAGTCAGTAATGGGTGAGGTTGGTCAACTTCAAGCTCAGGCTAGACTGGACACTTAAGCAGGGATGTTTATGGATAATGGACCTATCAAATCGGGGTCAGTGTTTAGTACAGTCAGCCTTCCACATTTGTGGGGGCTTGGGGCACAAGACCTCAGGTGAAAGTGAGAAACTGTGAATGTCTCTAGACTCCCTCACCAAACCATATTCAACACACTGTATGTAATGATACATTTGGCATGATCATCAAGTTCGCAGTCAACACCAAATTGGGAGGAATAGCCAATACTCCAGAAGACAGGAGCAGAATTCAAAACAATCTTAACAGATTAGGGAGATGGGCCAGAACTAACAAAATGAAGCTCAACAGGGACAAATGCAAGATACTCGTTTTAGGCAGAAAAAATGAAATGCAAAGATACAGAATGAGGGACGCATGGCTCGACAGCAGTACATGTGAAAAAGTTCTTGAAGTCCTCATGAACAACAAATTAAACATGAGGCAACAATGTGATGCAGCAGCTTTAAAAGCCCATGGGATTTTGGTCTGTGTAAATAGGAGTACTGTATACTGCCTAGATCCAGGGAAGTCATGCTACCCCTCTATTCTGCCTTGTTCAGACCACACCTGGAATACTGTGTCCAATTTTGGGCACCACAGTTTAAGTGAGATGTTGACAAGCTGGAATGTGTCCAAGAGAGGGTGATTAAAATGATCAAGGGTCTGGAGAACAAGCTCTATGAGGAGCAGCTTAAAGAGCTAGCCTGAGGAAGAGAAGGCTGAGAGGAGACATGATAGCCATGTATAAATATGTGGAGGGGAAGTCATAGGGGAAAAGGAGCAGGCTTGTTTTCCGCTGCCCTGGAGACTTAAGACGCGGAACAATGGCTTCAAACTACAGGAAAGGAGATTCCACCTGAACATTAGGAAGAACTTCCTAACTGTGAGAGCTGTTCAGCAGTGGAACTCTCTGTCTCAGAGTGTGGTGGAGGCTCCTTCTTTGGAGGCTTTTAAACAGAGGCTGGATATCCATTTGTCGGGGGTGCTTTGAATGCGATTTTCCTGCTTCTTAGCAGGGTGTTGGACTGGTTGACCCACAAGGTCTCTTCTAACTTTGTATCAGACTTTGCTGATCTGTAGCATAGCACCAGCCTGTCAGGCTTCTGTTTTGGGCATGTCTTCGGCCATGCCTTGCCCATTCTGAAAGTAGAGGCACACGGAGGACAGAGGCATGGGTAGCAGTTGGGTGATCACACTAGCATCAGCTTTTGCCCACATTTTATTTTTCTTGGCCACATTGATGTGGCCTTTACTGACATTGTTAGTGATGTAGGCAAGCAGAGTCAACAGCAAATAATCCACAAAAGTTTAACTTGCGTAATATGGAGGAATAACTGTATATACAATCATTGTACATTGCTTGGAGTGCCTGATTGTTGAAATGCCCACAGTAGTAACAGTATCAGTATCTTATAGCAAACACACCTTAAACATTAGGAAACCTATAGCATAGGGTTTTGTGAACTTGATCCCCATTCAGCAGATTTACAAAAAATGTTACCTTGTGTGAGAGTTTGAGACAGAGAAATATTTGTTAGATATTCCTATGGCTAATCACTCCCAGACACAGACACACATGTACGAAGTATGCCTGATTATAGCAATACTATATACTTATTTCTTAGTTGGAACTGTGTGGGGTGGAGACAGGTTCTAAAATGAGAAAAAGCCAATTTGCCTCCTGAAATGGAAATGAACTCTGATTGCATTGAGGTGCATTTCAGTTACTACATATGTATCATCAAAACAAGTTCAATTGTAAATCCTCTCTGTTGGTGATGAATATTGAATTCAAATTATTTCTGAAATTAAGCTTCTGATCAGACTGCTAATCCATTCTCCCTGCTATTCTAATGGTCTCTATGACTTAGTAGTTGATTCGATTCAAAGGCAGCATAAGTGATATGAAGATCTTGTTTTGGTAGGAGAGTAATATAATTATATATTTGAAAGGTATGCGAAGGACCATCTAATCCAGTGGTTCTCAACCTGCGAGTCCCCAGGTGTTTTGGTCTACAATTCCCAGAATTACCAGTCATTTTTTTGTTGTTCATTTGTTCAGTCATTTCCGACTCTTCGTGACTTCATGGACCAGTTCATGCCAGAGCTCCCTGTCAGTCGTCACCACCCCAGCTCCTTCAAGGTCAATCCAGTCACTTCAAGGATACCATTCATCCATCCATCTTGCCCTTGGTCGGCTCCTCTTCTTTTTTCCTTCCATTTTCCCCAGCATCATTATCTTCTCTAAGCTTTCCTTCCTTCTAATGATGTGGCCAAAGTACTTCATCTTGGCCTCTACTATTCTTCCCTCCAATGAGCAGTCAGGCTTTATTTCTTGAAGTATGGACTGGTTGGATCTTCTCGGAGTCCAAGGCACTCTCAGAACTTTCTTCCAGCACCACAGTTCAAAGCATCTATCTTCCTTTGCTCAGCCTTCCCTATGGTCCAGCTCTCACATCCGTAGGTGACTATGGGGAATACCATTGCTTTTACTATGTGGGTCTTTGTTGCCAGTGTGATGTCTCTACTCTTCACTTTTTTATCAAGCTTGGTCATTGCTCTCCTCCCAAGAAGTAGGCGTCTCCTGATTTCCTGGCTGCAGTCTGCATCTGCAGTAATCTTTGCACCTAGGAAATTCATAAACATTTCTCATCTGCAATCTGAAATGATCCAGTGCTTCTACCATCTCGCTTTGCTGATAAATAATGTAAAGCAATTTTATGTAGATAAAACAGAGACAAAAAGTAGTGGTAGTTATAGGTCCAGATCTCTTCAGTTCACTCTGAAATATTTCAGTGTCGCCACTACTTTGGCCGTCTTATTCATCTCTCCTTTTCAGGGATCAAAAGGAGAGGTGAAAGGAAGTGTACAAAGTTGGAAAGCATTCTGTTACACCCTGTGAAAAACTATCCAAAAACTCCACAAAATTATTTGTAGATTCAGCTAACTGGGCCAAATAGCTGGCTAATAGGGCCACTGCCTTTTTCTGCATTTGTAATATAATACTTGTGTTTGTTGCAAGCTTGGACAAAATACTGCTATCCAAATTAGTTTTTACTTAGTATGTGTAAGGTCTACCGAGCAACACTTTCTGGGAATTATGAAAGCTTGTACATAACAAATTATTTGGGTTTCTTTTGAAAGTGAAACGTCAGCAGATTTTGATAGATGGTATCATTACAGGCTGCTGTGTAGCAATAGTGTAGCTCATCACATGGCTTGGTTTTAAGTGGGTTTAACGGAAGTGAGTGGCTGTGTGATTTGCCTTCCTAAAAACAGGTTGAAAGCATTTGATCTTAATCCCATTCAAATACAAAGACAGTTACCATTTTGTTTGTGAAGCAATACTTTTGGGTTACAAACAAAATGGTAACTTTATTTGTATTTGATTTGTCTTAGATGGTCTTTGTTTTAGATGGTCTAAATCTATCTAACAGCTTGTGATCCCTTTATTTTTTTTATCAGTTCTAGACTTACCTATGAAATTCTTTTGACACAAAATAAAACATTTTGTTTGATTTTCTGATTTAACATTGTAACACCACTGTGTCTCTAGCTGAAATTGTATGCCCTTTCCTAGATATTTTTGTTAAAATTTAGTTGCATTTATTTACCATAAGCAAAGATATGGATTGGAACAGAAAGATAATATGTTCTGGATACACATTCCTCATGAAACACAAACTCCTGTTTTCAGCTGATGTAATTTGTCAACTGGTTTTTTCCCTTGTTTTTTATAATTAAACTGATAGGAAACTAAATTGGTAGTGACTGAGACATTATGGAATGGAGAGTAAGTAATGTAAAACTACAAGCATGTGAGCTGTACTTAGAATCAGGTACAGCTCACGTGCTTGCCCATCTTTGTAACACAAAATTGAACTACTTTTTAAATACTGTTGCTAGTAGTAACTATAGAGGAAGGAGATATGAAGCATTAAAATTAATAAGGTGATATATAAAACCAGGTAATTGCATATATAAGACATATTGTGGGAAAATGAGCAACATTGTTTGAAAGATCAGAAAAGTTTTAGACATTTGAAGTGGTAAAGCAGTGAGTGAGAAATAAGAGCTGGATATGGTTTTAAAATGCTGGGGAAAATGGAAGTAAAAAGGAAGAGGGGCCGACCAAAGGCAAGATGGATGGATGGGATCCTTGAAATTACTGGCTTGACCTTGAAGGAGCTGGGGGTGGTGACGGCCAACAGGGAGCTCTGGCGTGAGCTGGTCCATGAGGTCAAAAGAGTCGGAAACGACTGAACGAATGAACAACAACAAATGGTTTAAAAAATGAAAAGATTTAAAGGAGTAAAGAGCATTAACAGTAAATGTAAGGAGTTTATGCAAAAAGTTATGGAAAACCAGTACTGAGATTTGAA